AAGTCTGGCATTTTGCCTGTTACACGATCCTCCTGATGAGAACGATCTGTCGATTGAATGTTTCGTTTATGTGCTCAAATAATTGATACAGATAATTATTTACGTGATATATTATAGATATATCAATGAAGATATGGATAATTTTTGTCCGTGCCTCTAATGTAACTCTCCTCTAATGACTTTGATTTTACGTACGTTGATTTAAGAATGCGCTAGGTGCCAGCAGTACAGTTTTTAACTACTAAACTACACTTAACTATAACTAAACTTATTGGCTTTGTTTATCAATCGAGTCTTCAAAACAGTCAATGAAAGAATTATTTCAAAATGTTGTATTCGTCACCCTTAATATCTTACACTTTAGATACGTAAGTTACGTGGTACGTGGTACGTACAGTGGTAATTTATTTTTAAAACTTTAAACTTAGTCCCCCGCCGTGACCATGGCTGCTGCAAATCATCCGAAACATCGCGACGTAGTTAAAATACATTAACTAATACATAGGTATTATACGTTACGTGTTTTATTCAAATTATGAACTTGATTACAAACATCATTTTAATAAAATCGATTTAACGATTTAAAATGCTACTTGTTTGGAAACTTATTATAACGAACGTCGACCGTCGGGCCGTAGTTAATTTTAAATAAGTTATCTAAAGATTCCGCGGTTTTAAACTGTGAAAAGTGTTTTATTTGAATGTGCACTACTCGCAGAAACTACGCTTACAAAAATTTCAATCAAAAACATTATGCTGTGATGTTTTTTTCCACTCAGACATCGGTTAGCTACTTGTAAAGATGTATGAGTTCATAATACTTTAACGAAGAAAAAACAAATTTAACGAAACATAAAACAATACTTTTATTTACATACTATGTTTAATTACACACGGCCATGCCACTTCAAGTTTCATTTTTGCGTCTCATAAAGCCATTAATTAAATTGCTTTTAAAACTAAGTGAATCGATTCGTTATAATAATCATTTTCGTAGTGATCATCTCAGTTACCAAAGATTGTGATCCTCCATACTTTCAAAGTGCATGATTTGGCGTCTGCTAACCTGGCTGGCGCGCAGCCAAGAAACTTAAGAAGTTATTACGTAATCTATCAAGTTTCGAAGAAATAAAGTGCCCTTCTTTTAGTGTCTAAAATGTTCATTAAAAGAGAATTGTTCTAAAGTTTAAACGACTCCTGAGGTACATAGGTACGTAGTACGTATGTCATACCTAGCCGAACTGTCTGCAGCGTACACGCGTAGCAAACATTAAAATAAAACACTATTAACGGTTTAAAACGCGAATTATATAAGGGAAACTTATTTATTATTTTATTTAAATACAAGTTTAATGTATATTTGATGTCTTTTGTATACGAAACGATCCGACGTTTCGTGACATAAGGAACATCCTCCATCTGAAGTCCCCGCCGTGACCACGGCTGATGCAAAGCATCTGGAACGTCGTGTCGTAGTTAAAATACATAACATGGTATAAATCTACTAATACATTGCCTTTCATTTTAACCATGTTTTATGCGTTATATTTAAGTAAATACCTGTGTGATAATTACGGTGATACCTGTGTTTGCGTTGTAAATTAAAGCGCAGAAGAGTGATTTAATTAATTATTCATAAGAGCGAAAATACTAACCTAATTTAAAGTAAAAAATGCTGTTGACTTTGCGTCTACAGCGCCGCGGCCGGCGAACCTTATACCTCGTTAATTCTATGTAAATACAGCTTCAGTCCACTTTATACAAATTCTCATCAATGTCTGTTTACCTAAATGGGTCCAGGCATTTTATTTGCGAAGATTACACTGCTATGTAGGGGAGCAGCGTTGAAAGGAATATAGTTTTTAAATAATAATTAGGTAGATATGTTTGTATTGATGGAACTCGGTTTTTATTAAGATATAAAATTTATGTCTATTGCCTCTTGTAAGAATAGAATTACAACTTGTATTCAATACGTTGTTCCGGTAACGTATTACTGACTTGTTTTGGACTTGCCTTGCTCCTTCCCGTGTTAGATTAAACGATTGACACTTAGATGACATTTTTTATTATATATTGATAGTTGAACGTTGGTTGAAAGATATTAAAAATACTGTCTGTATCAAAGACGAAGACATGGTTAGTCAGTTCTGCAAAAACGCGGCCAGTTTCGCCAAATACCAACATTGACGATTTTTTACTTTGACGTCAGAGATGTCTCCCATCTTTAGTCTCCCCGTAGCTACGTTTGCTGCAAAGCATCCGAAACATCGGGCCGAAGTTATAAAAATAATAATTTTCAATTACGTTTAGCTAATATATATCGCGTTTTAAACCGTTAAAGTTTTTTATTTAAAAAGTCTTAAAAATGTTTAGTGTTGAGAAGGAAGTAAAACATGCATAAGAGTCAAACTCATAGTTTAAAAGTAATTATTATATGTAGTTTATATTCTTTAACTTGAGAAAAGACCACAACAGATATGGCCGTTTTCTAACCATAGATGATGACCTTTGATAGAGTAGAGTTGATGCCACAAATGACAGGGATAAAGAAACATCGATTATATATGGACCAAACAACCTCTATACTCAAAATCTTTAAAAAAAGGTCGTCTTTTTTTTAAATGTTATTATTATTTAACTCCACGTTTGTAAGGCTTTTCAGCTGCTATTGTCGTTGTTAATACATTTTAATCTGCCCATTTACGTTAAGTAATTTTTAATCCAGTGTGTGCCTTGTGAGAATCATGAATTTTAATGTAGATCGTAGAGGTATAAAAAATAGATAAAACCCAGGGTTTTAAAACAGCTACGTTAATATAATTGCAAACCACATGTACATCGTGATTCCGACATTGCCACATTGTTCTGACACGGGTCGCAATTGAATCTCTGCGCTGGCTCCAGGGGGGGTGGTGGATCAATCATGGTAATACTATCCGTCAGCCTCGAATTAAAGTCGAGTAAACTTTTACAATGTTACGCTTTACGGCGTCTGGTTTCGGGGTTTTGACACATTAATTTTAACAGCTATTTATGTAACACAAAGATTGTTTTTTATAGGTTGGTCTAATGGTATGTATGGCTAGTAATCAACGGGCCACGGGTTTGATCCTTACCGAATCTTACATGTTATTAGACGATTTATAATTTATCTGTCACATGTAGGACTTAATTTGGTAATTTTAACATTAAAAAATGGATGGTAGCACTTTAGTAATTCCATCAACAGATTTTAAAGCCGTTAAAAGTAACCGCGTTTCGGTTTTAGTAATATACTGATTTCCTAATATCCAAATCCAATAACAGTAAACAATAATATATATTTTTTTAACAATACACTTTCATTTAAATAAAACACTTTAATGGTTTAAAACGCGATATATTAGTTAAACTTATTTGAAAATGATTTTTAACTTCGGCCCGACGTTTCGGATGCTTTGCGTCTCCTCGTGACCACGGCTGCTGCAAAGCATCCGAAACGTCGGGCCGAAGTTAAAAATCATTTTCAAATAAGTTTAACTAATATATCGCGTTCTAAACCGTTAAAGTGTTTTAATTCAATGTGTACTACTCGCGTAAACTATAGACAGTATTTAATACACTTTCATGATTATATTCAGTTGTCTATATTGTGAAACATACACGGCTTTAAAATAAAACATTTTAACGGTTTAAAACGCGATATATATTTAGATAGGCTGTATGCTTTAAAGTCCTTCTAAATTATTTTAACATTTTACAAAATGGAGGTTCTAATGCGTATATTCGAGTGGTATATACACGTGTTATAACCCGCCTAGTTCGATAAAGAGGGTCAGTTCCAATCCCCAGAGACACGATATTTCTCTCGGACCAACCACTCTTTGACATTTTCCTTTTCTGATTATCCTAATACAATATTTACTTTATTTTTGTTCTAATCTACTTACTTGTGTAAGAATCTAGTGTTTGGACGTATTATAACTGTCCTTTTTTGAAGGTGATACATTATTCGCGTTCAAAACCGTTAAAATTTTGTTTTTGTGTGTTAAATAATGGGATACAGTACAGACTATTCCTAAGTACCGATTTATTAATAATTTACTGTTTTATATTCTATTTGTACGTTTTTTGTATTGGAGTCCTCAATATTTCTGTGGTTTTTACTTAAATAAAACACTTTAACGGTTTAAGCGCGATATATTTTAGTTAAACTTGTTTCAAATTTTTTTTAACTGTGGCCCGACGCAGTAGCAGACAATGAAATCTAAGTAACGGGTCCCCTTATTACACATTGAAACTTTGCATTCGAAAATTATTTAGGCACCTGAAGGAAATTGAACCCACACGGTTATTAGCCATAATGATTGGACAGTCTTTCATACTGTCAAAATATCTGGTACGAGCAGAAGTAATTTCATTCGCGCGATATACGTTTCGAATTAACGCAGGGCGTGGTAAATAAAGGCTTCGAAATGGAGGTTGATGTGTTCCGGACGTGTCGGGTGCGCTGTCAACTCTTCAGACGACTCGAGTGTTGGAGTTATTGAAAGGAGACGAAACACATAACAGGACCTAGGTGCACTAAATTATTCGACTTATAATGTTGTTTATTTATTCATCTGTTTTCAATTTAATTTCAACTCGTGATTCTATTTTATTATAAAACTGAATTCCCGATTCGGGCACGGAACATAAGATGGCGACCTCGATGGCGATGGAGATCCTCTTCCCCCTCGGACCGCTAGCGAAGTGGACGTGTCAGTGCTAAATTCCAATTTTATTTAAATATCATTTTTTAAATTAAATTCAATTCTAAATAATACTTCAGCGTTACTAGGATTATATAAGTGAGTGAGTTGTGTCGTATTAATCGTCCTGTGTTGTTGCGAGCCTAGTACCCGGCACCGACCATCCATAGTCGAGGTATCGGCCCCGCCCACCGACTCATACGCAGCAGAAAGGAGGCGGTGGACACACCCCTAAAACTAGAACCAATCAACATAAGGAATTACACTATGAATTCGCAGAAACAGGGCAGCGCTTCCGCATTGGATGACGGACATTCCTCGGACTCAAATAAGCCTAAACAATTAAAGATTTATGACGTAGATGGATTCTTGTTGTTTCGCCAGGAAATAAAAGACATGTTGTGCACTTTTCAAAAAGAACAAAATGACAAAACGGAAAAGTTCTTTGCCCAGCAAAACAGCAGACTTGACTCTCTGGAGAAGTCCATATCTGACTTGTCTAGCAAACTTGTCACTATTGACTCAACGAGCCAAGATATTGAAAAATCAATGGATTTTCTATCAAAACAGGTGGATGGTATACAGAACAAAATCGACGGCCTCCAGTCTCAGTGGAAATCTGTATCGGCGGATTTACAGGCTATCGAGGATCAACAGGAATACCTCGCGAAGTCCCTTAACAAAACCTGTTTGGAAGTGAGAAACGTACCTAAGACAGACCAATCCTCTAAAAGTTCACTGTATGATCACGTTCTGCACTTGTGTCGATCTCTAAAAGTCTCAGTGAACTCAAACGACATAAGAGATGTCACTCGAGTTACGAACAGAAAAGACACGTCTAAAACTTCGTTTATAGTGGAACTAACAAACACTCTTCGCAAGAATGATATCCTTAACGCAGTCAAGAACTTTTATAAGACTCACAATAATCAACCATTAAGTTCAGACCTTCTCGGCATATCAGGCGACGCTACGACTATTTACATCTCGGAATACCTTACACGGAAAACCAAACGCTTATTTCATCTGGCGAAGGACTGGGCTAAATCCCACAACTATAAGTACTGCTGGGCTTCCAATGGGTATGTTTATGTACGTAAACAAGATGGAACACCGTATAAACTAATAAGAAATGAAGAACAACTGTTGTCATCATATACTCAGGCATGACTAGCCGCGACAATGTTAATCAGTTTTGCTTTTAAGTTTTCTTATTATTTAAATGTTCTATTAATATCTTTTGCTACATTTGCCGTTCTCGTACTTCAAGTTATGTGTTACTATTTTATTACCACTCACTGCCACACTGTTACAAGACTAACTCAACACGTATTCTCGTTGATCCCTTTTAGAAAGAAATTAATCCGTTATAATTCTACTCATAGCATGAGAAATTTATATACTCATTGTTATTGCTCATTGTTTTTCTCAAAGACTAAAATTCGATAGTAGTGCCTTAATTCAGACAATAGACGGTACGGTGTTTTGCGAGTCGAGATTTTTCGAACATCCCGAAAACTGTAAATCTTTTTTAAGCAAATCTAACCTAATTGTTGTATCACAAAATATTCGGAGTGTTCGGAGGAACTTTGATTCTTTTACACTATTCTTGGCTCGGCTTAATGTTTCGCCGGATATCATAGTACTTACTGAGTGTTGGCTTGACGAGAACTTTGCGGGGTTCTCCTACGAGGACTATACATGCAGTTTTTCAACAAAATACTACAATAAATGCGACGGTATAGTAATTTTACACAAAACTAACTTAAAAGTAAATATATACGAGCCAACGTTTGCTGAAGCTAATTGCCTTATCCTGACTATCAACGACGAAATAAATGTACTTGCGCTATATCGATCTCCAGCCTTCTACAACATTGATACCTTTCTTATCTCACTGGAAGAACATCTATCACAACACCAAGGTAGACCAACATTTATTGTGGGAGATATTAACATAGATATTAAAGAGGCGTCCTCCGATTCTAGAAAAGATAAATACCTAGACTTAATAGGTTACCTAGGATTTGTCCCTGGCCATATGATACCCACTCGTGAAGGTAACTGCTTAGACCATGCGCTGATTAGGTCGAACCTTCCCTCTCAAGTAGCCATCTCCCCCTCAACAGCATCGGACCATGATTGTGTGATCCTAGGTATTAGTACTAGGTTAACACCACAGAACCAACCGAAAACCTCAAAAAGCAAAATTCACATTGATTATCAAGGCATTGCAGAGGACCTAAAAGGCTTCCAATGGCATAGACTTTATTGTACCTCAGACATCAATAAAGCTGTTACATTATTTACAAATAACATCTCCAATATAGTATCCAAGTATACTAAAACATCTTCGATAAGTAGGTCTAGAGCCATCAAAAAACCATGGATGACCCCAGGTCTTCTGAAGTGCGTCAGGCATAGGGATAGTTTACATATGGTCGCTAGAAAAAATCCGAGGGATCTTGATATTCAAAACAAATACAAAAAATATCGAAATTATTGCAATTCCCTCTTATTTAATTTAAAAATTGAGTACGATAGAAACCAAATAAGAGAAAATAAAAACAACACAAAAAAACTTTGGGAAACTGTTAAAAATGTATGTTGCATTACTTCTAATAAATCAACCAATTCTGACATCTTATTAGCTACTTCTAACCCTACAGAATCAGTTAATTTAATCAATAATTATTTCGCTACCGTTGGCCAGAACTTAGCCCATTCTACTCTTAACCATCGTAATATTTCTGAACAGCAACTGGCTAACAACATTAAATTACCTTATAATCCCAAGTCATTTTTCTTACAACCCACTGACGACGAAGAAATATCAAACATTATTAATAAACTTAAATTAAAATCAGCCAGCGGATGGGACAATATAGGAAGTGAACTCGTAAAAAAACTTAAAGATATTCTTGTGGCACCAATTACCTTTCTATGCAACCTAAGTATCTCAAGCAATACATTTCCCGAAGCCTGGAAACTAGCAAACGTAACTCCTATCTTCAAATCCGGAAACAGTAGAGAAATACCTAATTACAGACCAATCTCTATCCTTCCGGTTATTGCAAAGATAATGGAAAGAGTAGTAAATAAGAGGCTACTCTCCTTTTTGGAGGCTGAGTCTATTCTCTCCAATAACCAGTATGGCTTCCGCAAAAAGAAGTCAACTGAAGACTCTATTTCTAAACTTATTGATACAGTAACTGACACGCTAGACATGGGCCAGCAATGTATTGGAGTATTTCTTGACCTCGCAAAAGCATTCGATACCGTCTCGCACCCTATACTTTTGCAGAAAATAGAGTACATGGGGGTAAGAGGCCAGGCCCTGCGGTGGTTCCAATCGTATCTTTCCAACAGACAGCAACGTGTTTGCCTTGGTGGTTACACCAGCAACCAAAATTATGTTCCTTTCGGCTTGCCCCAGGGCAGCGCCCTCTCTCCTTCCCTCTTTCTGATTTACGTCAATGATTTGTGCAATCTTTCGCTTACAAATGGTAGCATTTTCTCTTTTGCTGACGACACCTCTATTATTTTTAGTGGCAACTCCTGGAAACAGGTTACAAAATTAGCAGAAGAAGGTGTAAATAGCATCTTCCAATGGCTGCAAAATAATCTTCTAACCTTAAATATAGCTAAAACTAAATTCCTATGCTTCAGTTTAACCAAACGAAACCAACCAAAAATATTACCGGATATCAAAATTCATTCCTGTTCTAATTTAACCAAGGAAAGTTCATGCCATTGTCCATCCATAGCTTACGCTAACAATATAAAATATCTAGGAGTCATCATTGATCAACATATCACTTGGGAAAAACATATTAATGCCCAGTCTTCCAGGATCCGTAAGTTGATGTTTATCTTCAATCGGCTAAAGCGAGTGGCAGATGAAGGGGTCATTAAAATGATCTACCTTGCTCTCTGTCAATCCATACTCACCTATTGCATCTCGGTTTGGGGAGGAGCCGTCGCAAAATACATACTTAAACTTGAGCGTGCTCAAAGAGCCATTTTAAAAACAGCCTACAGGAAACCCTTCCGATTTCCTACAACCCAACTGCACACTGAGACAGGGTTGCTTTCGGTCAGAAATCTATATATTCTTAGTACTTGCCTTCGTTTCCACAAAGTCTCTACTTCACATAACTTAATGTCATTAACACAAAGACACTCTCAATTCACAACACCCAAAAAAAAACACTAGTTTTGGACAACGATTTTTCAATTTCAGAGGACCTTACCTCTACAATAAACTTCATAAAAAGGCTAAAACAGAGTTCGTCAAACTGTCAAGATATAGGATAAACAAAATAATAAAAAACCTACTGTCAAGCCTGGACTACGCTTCAGCTGAGGCTTTGCTTAATATTCCTAAATAAGCATAGTTTAGCACTTTATCTGTCTATAACAAAATGCTATTGTAATTGTCAAATTGTAAAATGTTAATTTCGTTAGTAATGTTGAGTTACTAATTGTATTAAGTTTATTCCGTTAGTAATGTTAAGTAAATAATTGTAATAAGTCTATTTCGTATTTCGTTAGCATTGTAAACTTACATTATCCACCTATCATACGTATTCTGTTACATACCTATATTATATCAACACACGTAACACGCTCTCGCTTCATACATACACTAACACACATAATGCAAATACTCACCTAAATAGACACTAATCGTAAGTAGACATAAGTTAGCTTAGATGTCTTTATTTATTGTAACCCATCATCTGGAAGAGACTAGTCACCCACGACACAGGCTTGCCCTAGTGTGGGGACTAGGGACTTTCAATTCTGTACCATATATAAGGAAACAATAAAGATTTTTGATTTTTGATTTTTGATTTTTTTGTGTCTGTTCCATGGATCACTTTTATAAACGGGAATTAGGTAATCAAACTCCTATGGCACACTGAAACTTCTAGGACCTTAAATTGTAGTAATCAAACATAAAAACCTTCTAAGGATTGACAAGTATGGGGCTCACATGGTGGAAGTTAAAATAGCCCAGACATTTTAACGAGATGCGCTGTTTTTGATTTTGGCTTTGTATATTCGGAAATCTATAGATGAAACAAAAACACGATTAAACTTCACGGCTTATTTCTATAGAAGTTGGGTCCATTTAATATCTAGATTTCCAGACAAAGTACAACTTAATAAATTGTGTAAGGCTTTCACGGCCTTCGTTCAGCATATCATTGTCTTTCGGGCTGTTCGGCCGATGTGAGCGGCCTGCGAAGAATCAATTCTACGAACAATCGAGTAGTTAACATCTCATGATGATGCCGCACGTGATGGCGACACGACGAGAACCTCTTCTCGCTCACGTCGGCCGAACAGCCCGAAAGACAATGAAAGCACAACTTGTTTCAGAAAAATTATAAATTCATGAGTATGGGGGGAATCCACAGCCCCTTGATTACTAGCCTTACATTGCTACTAATGGACCAACGAGCCTGTTAAATATTCCTTGTTGAAAAAACCAGTAAATGCCGGCCCAGTAAAAGTTTTTCGTGTTCGTTTTGAAAGCAACACCACACAACCGGATTTTACAGAAATGCAAATTCATTAGAACGTTCGAAATACGCTTCGGAATTAACTGACCAAGTTAAGAGCTAGAACGGAGTCTGAAAGTTCAGTTTTACTAGAGACCAGAAATTAGTTCTCGAACAAACATTGGCTCAAAGCTTCGCTTGAGATATCCGCTGAGGATTTCTGTTGATTTGTTTTATTACGAATTGGTTGGTTCTTCAATACTTTTTATCGACGTACTGTGTGTGTGTCCACGACTTCGCCCGCGTGGAAATGTTATATTTATTTTTATAGAACTCCTCTTCTTTTTATTAATTACTGCTGTTAACCACGTTACGTTCGCGTCCCGTCATTCTTGCAAATTAATGTTAAAAGATAGGCATTAACTGTCGCGAATATTTTTTTATACAGTACTTATTCTTACATACATATTTTTTTGGTTTCTTGACCCGCTTTCGCAGCGCACGCAACGGAAGCCCACAAAGACGAATAATTTTCCCCGATTTTCCACATTTACCACTGTTTCTTCGCGCCTTTCGCAGCGTAATGTATAGTCTAAAGCCTTCCACGATAAAAATCTAACCAACACACCTGAAACCGCAGCGTGATTGAACTTGACGACTATTT